ACCTGCATTGCCACCATTTGTCCTCCAACCAGATCTGAAATATCATAGCTGGCATGTACACATAAGGAACTATCTGGCATTGAAATTGGGACTCAAAAGAAATGTTAGCCCAGAAAGGAACTCACTATAGACTGATTCATTTGCCTCTCAGCATAACCATTATGGCTTGTTGCAGTTTAGGTTCTTACAAGGGTATTTCTTGGATCACATGATCTCACACATCTAGAGGAAATAATGAACAACATAAACAGACCCAGAGAAAGAGAAGCAGTGATCAGACTCAAACCTCAGAGGGAAAGTAAGGGAGGATGGGGTAAGGGGAAGAGATCAACCAAAGGACTTGTATGCATACATATGGGCCTAGCCAGTGGCCATGGACAACGGGGATTTAGGGGGGGCATATCTAGGGAGGGGTTTGGGATGGGAATGGGAGAATAAGGACAATTATGTGAGACCATAATCAATAAAATAAAAAATAAATAAATAAATAAATAAATAAATAAATAATGCCATTGATTTCTGGATTTGATTTTCTAACTTGCTATATTTGTAAATTCATTTGCCCTGATTTCCCAAAAATAAGACAGTGTCTTATATTAATTTTTGCTCCCAAAGATGCGCTAGGTCTTATTTTCAGGGGATGTCTTATTTTTCCATGAAGAAGAATATGGTACACATTTCTTGTTAAATGAAAATAAAGGAAATTTATTACCTGTATATGGTATGGTAGTAAGGAAGTTGTCAACACAAACCAGACAAACTGAATCCTACAGTATCATGAATTTACTCATTTATTCAATGACAATCATATCATCATCTTCTGAAACATCATCCTAACAATCCAATTCCTGAATTTCCTAGTGAATTTCTTGTGACTCCATTCTTTCAGAATCAGTGGACCAAATCTCTCATGTTTAGCAATAGCATTCTGAGACAGAGCCTAGGCGGGGGAGCTTATTTTCGGGGGGATGCCTTATATTTCACTCAGAAGGAAACCTGTAAGTAGGTCTTATTTTCGGAGGATGTCTTATTTTCTGGGAAACACAGTAGTAAGTCTAGTAGTTTCCTGGTTGAGTCTGTACGTTTTTCTGTGTGCAATATCATGTCATCTGCAAATAATAACAGTTTTACTTACTACTTTCCAAATTTGGATGCCTTTTATTTCTTCTTCTTGTCTGGTCACTGTGGCTAGGACATCCAATGCTATGTTGAATAAGAGTGGTGAAATCAGACATCCTTGTTTTGTTGCTGATCTTAAGGGGAGCTCTTTTAGTAAAGGTATATTATGTATCTTTAAAGATGAAGGTTAACTGTAGCTAGAGTCTGTTGAAATAGGCACTGAATAGAACATGTCAGTCATATACATTGCTATGACTGCTATTATTTACCAGTTTCTTATTGGGTGTAATCAGTAATTTTAATAATATTATATATGGTACTTTAATAGGTGGGACCATGACATTAACAGTATGAAAATTCACTACAGGACACCATTCATGCTTTTCAGATTTAAGAGGAAGTCTAATTTGGGTGTTAAATTCAGAAGCAGTAGGGATAATTATATCTTCCATAACTAGGAATTATATAATTGGTGTCTATCTGTGAAGGCCTCCTTTCATTTACATTGGATGCTTTTAAACTAGGGTGAAAGGTAGGTGTTACTATTTTATAAGTAGGGAGGAAGGTCCACAGGGCAACATTTTTTCAAACTGATCATAAGTGCAAAATAATTATTTTTCTACTCATTGTGTCAGATTGTCATTATGCAGTAGAAATATTTTAGGAAAATAAGTGTTTTGGCTATGGGAAATTTATGCAAAACTATAGTTCTAATAATTAAGTTTAGGCATATATGTTCCCTCTTTTAGCTGCTTGCCCTAATGTGGGCTGTATGGTGAAGAAAAAGGAATAGGGCTTACAGCTATCAATAGTATAATATCTAATATGGAATTAAATTGATTTTTATACACTGCCAACCTTCACATAACACTCTGCTACCCATCTCCCTGCATTCTCCCTACCCCCACCCCCAGGAGCCAAACCCAAGCAAAATTTCCAACACCTTTTCTTCCTTGCCAGTATGTTAAAGTGTTAAGGAAAAATTTATCTTCAGTCTGTAACTAGTCCTTATTCTTGGTTTATGGATAACTATAGACTGGCCGGTATGGTGCTCAAACTTGCAGAATTCTAACTTCCTCCCTTCTCACATACCTGTCCCCTCCTTTGCTCCCTCTCATCATCAGAGAACATTTAAAGATACAAACACATTTCCTTTATACACATGCTAGTATTTATTCAAGGAGACCATTACATTTTTATATCCTCATAATGTCCATTACTTAACCTTTTTCTGTAGAGAGACTACACATTCTTAAGGGGTTTCATCTTCTGGTAGACCCTGGGCATCACTTGTGGTAGAACTCTCCAACTCTTCTTCTTCTTCGTTGTTGGCTTGCTTACTATAGTTTTGTGGAAGTTTTTTTTTTTTTAACCATTCCTATAGTAAAATAGAAGTATATGATTCTATCTATCTTTGTCATTCTTCACTCTGATTAAGGAACAAATTTACTTTTGACATTATCTTTGTTATATAGTTGGGAAACAAGATAAAACCAGAAAGACATTGGTTTGGGGGAAGATATTAGGAAATGGGTGTGAAAGGGGATTATAATAAAATGAGGATGAATCTATTGAGAAAGTGTCTACCAAAAAAGAGCAAGGCCAGAGTCCTGGGTGAGGAATTATTGGGAAAGAAATTGAGTCATATGAGTAGGTAGCATCTGTCCCTGGTGATCAGTGCAGGTTATAGCAACCTTTTGTCATTTGGTCGATTTGCATATTTGCTTTTTATTGTATAGGATTGATTTCAAAAGAGGAAGGCAGAGGGAGAGAGAGAGATAAAAACATCAGTCATGCTATAAAATAATTGAACAGCTGCTCCCTGTACCCCCATTCCACTATTGGGGATTGTGCATTTGGCCAGAATAGAAACCTGGAACCTTCAGTCCAAAGGCTGATCTATCCACTGAGACAAACTGGCTAGGGCTGGTTTGGGTTTTGTGTGTGCATAACATTTTTATCCATTCATCTATTGATGAACACTAACATTACATATTTTGGCTGTTGTGAATAATACAGCCTATTACCTAGTATTTTGGATGTCTTACAAAACCCCCCACAAAACTAAATACTCATTTTTATATTTCAATAAAGACATGAATTATCACAGTTTCCTCCAACACTTGGCTTTTTCAGGCAACCCAGGTTGCATGTGGGATATGTATCTTTACTGGATATACTTAATTGATTGTCTATACTTCTCTTCCCATATTTATATATTTTTTTCTGGAGAACCTCAAACCTAGTCACTAACATCAGGGTTATGGCACTCCCCAGAACAGTGACTGAATTTTTCTATTGGTTATGGCACAGGATTATCATGGAATGGATGTTTCTCCCAAAAAGTCTGAGGATCATGATACTGGGTATGTTTCAGAGAGAGAGAGAAAGAGAGAGAGTTGGGCAGCAACAGCAGAAAGATTATGCAAGGTCCTAGTGAGTCTTCTGCTTTCAGGTGTATGACATTAGCATCCCGCATAGTAATTGCTATTCCTCCATGAGTAACTACACAATGGACTACCCAAAAAAGATCTATATAGAAAGGGGACCAAACTGGTTAAGATTCAGCAAATGTTCACAAGGTAAACATAGTATGAATCATCTTATTAATAAAACATAGAGTCATTAATCAATCTGAGACTCACACATAAGTCCAAGTTGAGAAACATAATTGCAGACTACTTTAAGGAGGCCTCCTGACACTCTATGTTAATTTGCTAAACTGATAATTTGTGAAGCTAGATGTGGGGACTATACTGTCTGCAAAAATAATGAGAAATAACAGGACTGGAGAGGTAGGTACCCCACGGAGTACCTCAGTAAAGGTGTATTATGTATCTAAAGTTGAAGTTTAACTGCAGCTATAGTCTGTGGAAATAGGCATGGAATAGAACATGTTATTCAAATATTTTGCTATGACTGCTAAATATTTACCAGTTTATTTGTGTAGAACCAGGAATTTTAATAAAATTAGATGTGGATATGTGATTGGAGGGACCATGACATTAATAATCTGAAAATTCACATTGAGAAATGAATCATGCTTTTCAGGTTTAAGAGCAAGTTAAATCTGGCTGATAAGTTCAGAAGCAGTAGGGGTGATTATTTCTCTAACCAGGTCTTACACAATAAGAGTCTACTTATGAAGGCCATATTTTCATTTTTATTTGGGCCTTTTTCAATCCAGTGTGAAAGTTGTTTTATAAATAGGGAAGAAGCTGCATAGGGTACCACTTTTTAAAGATGATTATAAGTGAACAAAACATAATTTTTGTACTCATTGGGCCAGATTCCCATTCTGCACTAGAAAATATTTTAGGACAATAAGTGCTTTAGCTATGGGAAATTTCCCCAACACAATAGTTCTAATGATTAAGTTTAGGCATATTTATTCCCTGTTTTATATGCTTGTTCTAATGTGGGCTAGATGGCACAGAGAAAGGAATAAAGCTGTCAAAAGTTTAATATGTAAAATGGAATCAGATTTGTTATTATATACTGCCAACCCTCACAAAACACTATTCTGCCCCCGCACAACCTTGCCAGTGCTAAAATAAGCATAATCACCAAACTCCTTTTCTTCCTTACCTGTATGACAAACTGTTAAGGACAAAATTATTCTTTGGTCTTCACCTAGGCTTATTATCGGTGTCTGGCTAACTATAGACTCACTGGTCTGTGCACAAAGTAGCAGAATTCTACCTCCCTCCCTTCTCACATATCTGCCCTTATTTTGCCCCCTACCCATCTTTAGAGAACACACAAAAGTACAAGCACATTTCCTTTATACAACGCTAGTATTTATTCAAGGAGACCATTTATGTTTTGATCTCCTCATAATGCTCATTTCTTATGTTTTTTGGTAGAGAAGCTACACATACTTAAGGGTCTTCATCTGGGAGACACTGGGCATCATTTGTGGTAGAAGAACATTCCGGCACTTCTTCATCTGCGGGCTTCCTTACTGGAATTTTTCTACCCTTCCTGGAGGAAATTGCAATTATCTGATTCTTTCTGTCTTTTTCGTTCTTTTCTTCACACTGCTTGATGCCAGAACGTATATCAGCCATTTTCTTCATTTTCTATTTAGGAAAGAAAGTAAACCCAGAAAGATATTGGTTTTGGGGAAGATATTGGGAAATGTGTGGGAATGGGGCTTGTAAAAGAAAGACAATGGATTGATTAAGGAAGTGCCTGTGCCAAAAAAGAGCAAGGCCAGAGCCTTGGGTGAGGAATTATTGGGAAAGAAGCAGGGGAATAAGAGTAGGATAGTCTGACCTTATCCTTCTTATTGTCACCGTTTTGGGAAACAGACTTCCAATTCCCTTTAGTACTTGAAGTTTCTTGGTCCATCCTTGCAGCTGGGGTCTGATTCCTTATCTAAACTAGGCTACAGTATTTTCTTAGTAACATTGGCTTTGTTGTAGCAACAGGCCATATCCAGAGGCTCCTGGACCATCAGCTCTGATTGGCCAACATTCAGTGGTTGCCATGGTAGACTTGACATCACAAGGCTTCAGCTAGACCATTCTTGAGAGAGTGTGTGTGGGGGTGACTATGCATAGGATTCAGATGATATGGGTAGAGTAATGGAGCTTCTTCCTAAATAGCTCCTAAAATATTTCCCAAACTGATCTCTCACTCATTTCCTCTAGTTCAGTTATTGTCCCGCACATGGCAGGGAGGGGGTGTTTCCTCTAAGCCATTTCTCATATCCCACATTCATTCAATATTTTAGGAGCTATTTAGGAAGAAGCTCCACTACTCTACCCATATCATCTGAGTCCTATGCATAGTCACCCCCCCACACACTCCCTCAAGAATGGTCTCACTGATGTCTTGTGATGTCAAGCCTACCATGGTAATCACTGAATGTGGGCCAATCAGATCTTATGGTCCTTGAGGGTATATATTCTACCATCCCCCTTATATTATCATTACCTAGTATTTTGAGTGTTCTTTTAATGGTGGTTTTATTTTAGACTAGTTTTAGATTTCAAAAAAAATTGGCAAGATTATACAAATATACCCCATATCAAATATCTCTTATTATTAATATCTTATATTGACATGTTCCAATTATAATGTGATAAACCATCAGTGAAACAGTTATAGCCCAATTTCAGTTCTCTAACAATTCCAATATCAACCAATTTAGATCTAGACCACTTTAAAAAATATATGTACATGTTGTGGAACAAATCTTCAGTTCTAGACCTGACAACCCTTTCATGCTGAAATTTCTGCATGACACAAACCATCTATCATTCAACAACAAAAGAGAAGATAATGTTATTTTGCTGGGAAAACCTGATTAGCACAGTTTTAAAACATAAAGAGGTCATGGAGAGCACCTTTATGTTACTAAGGGTGTGAAAATGCTAATAAAACAACAATCACAGATAATTGAAGATGTAGAGAAATTGTTCTTGATTTGGGTAAATGCAAAGCAGTTAGCCTGTGATAGCAGTTGGGAGGCAATGGTCTGTGGAAATGTGAAGATGATGCTTCCTGACCACCTGAAGGATACTCCTGAAAGGAGTGCTGAATGTGATTCATTTAAGGCTGACAGGGGGTGGTTCCATAAATTAAAAACAAAACAAGTATTTCTTTTAAGATTAAATAGTACCTTAGACATGTCCTTTATATGAGGATGATAAAACAGTGAATCATTTGTGTGTGGAATGAATTCATTAAATTTAAATATATGTCTAATCAGAAAAATTATTTAATTTTCTTTTTTATATTTCTAGTAGGGACACAGTGCATGAATTTGTGCACCTTGAAAGAAGCTTTTGACTTTGAGGCTGTGGTGGTCACAGGAGCATGTCTCAGCCCATCCTCCATGTCCTCACCCAACCCATTCCACCACTGCCACTTTCTCCTGTCTGCTGGCAATGCCACTGCTACTGCTGCTATTCTCTTGCACTACCTGTGCCAGCCCTGCCCGCAGGCACAGAGTGATTTTGGCTGGTACCAACAGCAGGTGCAAGTGGCAGCTGCTGCCCCGATTGCCCTTTAAGAGAAGAGGGGAGTGGAGAAGCCCTCAGAGGAGATCTGGGCCAGTAGTTGCTGATCATACCAACTAATGGTTCTGAGCAATCTGGATCTTCACCTGCAGTGAGTGCTTGTGGAGGCTCCAGCACTCGCTGTGGTGCAAGTGGGGATGACATCAGCAGCAGGTGAGAGCACCAGTGGGACCATGGCATGGAAGCAAAACTTAAAAAAAATATATATATATATATATATATAAATATATATATATATATATATATATACATATATATATATTATTGATTTTTTACAGAGAGAAAGAGAGAGGGATAGAAAGTTAGGAACATTGATGAGAGAGAAACATTAATCAGCCGCTTCCAGCACACCCCGCACTGGGAATGTGCCCGCAACCAGGGTACATGCCCTTGACCGGAATTGAACCCAGGACCTTTCAGTTCACAGACTGACACTCTATCCACTGAGCCAAACAGGTTTTCGGGGAGCATACACTTTTTAATAACCACCAGAGGAACACCCTGATGACAGCAACTTGTGCCCCATTCAGATTGGTGGCCCTGTTCACCTGCTCCACCTTCCCCTATGGCCAATGCCCACCATGCCCCATGTTCTGCCGACTTCTGCCTACGCCCACTATGTTCCACACGCCCATGGTGGTCAGCTCACCTGATAGTGACTGGTTGTTTGGTTGTTTGGTTGTTCTGTGGTTTGGTCTATTTACATATTAGCATTTTATTATATAGGATTGATTTCAAAAGAGGAAGGCAGAGAGGGACAGAAATAGATACATCACTGGTGCTAGAAAATAATGGAATGTCTACTTCCTGCAACACCCTGTACTTGTGATTGAGACCACAACCCATGCATATGCCTTTGACAAGAATAGAACCCTGGAGCCTTCATCCGCAGATTGATGCTCTAGCCACTGAGACAACTGGCTAGGACTGATTTGAGTTTTGAACAAATCACTTCTTAAACAGCTTTCTGAAACAAATTAAGTTCAAACAGTTCAAGTCTACTCTATTGAAATCTTTATTTTATTAAGATTTTCTTAATATTTACTTAATGTGCTTAATATTTTACTTAATAATACTTAATATGATCCCATCCAGGATACCATATTAAATTTTAGTCATCATGCCATGCCTCATTGTAATTTATTTATTGGGAAACGATTTTAGTCATCATGCCATGCCGCTTGGCTGTCAGTTTTCTAGACTCCTCGTTTTAGAAAACCTTAAACTTTTGGTTTGTTTGTTTTTTACATTAAATCCTCAAAAGATATCGATGTTATAGTTAAAGCTTTGTACCCTTCTACCAAGCTCTTCCTATTTTCTCCACCCCTCAGCAGCTGACAAACACTTTTCAACTCTCTGTTTCAATGAGTTGGCCTGTTTCTATTTTTAATATACCACATATATATGATGTGGTGTAGTTGGGAGCATAACATTTTTATCCATTCATATATTGATGAACACTAACATTACATATTTTGGCTGTTGTGAATAGTGCAACATATTACCTAGTATTTTGAATGTCTTACCAAAAGCTCCACAGAACTAAATACCCATTTTTATATTTCAATAAAGACATGAATTTTCACACTTTCTTCCAACACTTGGCTTTTCCAGGCAGCCTTCTCAGGTTGCATGTGGGATATGTATCTTTACTGGATATATTTCATTGGTTATCTCTACTACTCCTCTCACATTCATTTCTTTCTTTCCTTTTTTTCCCTGGAGAACCTCAAACCTAGTTAGTACCATCAGGGTTATGGCACTCCCCAAGAATGTGGCTGAATTTTTCTATTGCCTTTGCTACCATTTTGTCATGTAATGGATGTATCTCCATAGAACTCTAAGGATGAGGATCCTAGGTGTGTGTCAGAGAGAGAGAGAGAGAGAGGGGGAGGGAGGGAGAGAGAGAGAGGGAAAGAGAGAGAGAGGTGGACAGCAACAGCATAAAGACTATGCAAGGTCCTAGTGAGATTTTCTGTGTTCAGGATTGTAACATTAGCATCCCACATAATAACTGCTATTTATCCATGAGGAATACCCGAACGAGCTCTATATAGAAAGAGGTCCAAACTGGTTAAGATGATGCAAATGTTCAGAAGGTAAACATAGTTTCAGTCACATCTTATTTCCAGACTGGGACATATGATTCAGTCTGAGACATACAAATAGGTCCGGGATGAGTAAAATGATTGAGGATTAATTTAAGGAGGACTCCTGGTACTCCAGTTTATTTTTCTCAGTTGACTAATATGCTAAGCTAGAGGTGGTGAAGAATCTGTATAAAATATTGAAAAATAACAGGACAGTACACGTACCCTACTTAGTACCCATGTAAAAGTGTTTTATGTCTCTAAAGTTGAAGTTCAACTGTAGGTATAGTCTCTGGAAGTAGGCACTGAATAGAACATGTCATTCAAATACTTTGCTATGACTGCTAATTATTTACCAGTTTCATTGTGTAGAACCAGTAATTTTAATAAAGGTAGATATGAATCTTTGATGGGTGGGACCATGACATTAATAATGTGAATATTCACACTCAGGAATCAATCATGCTTTTCATGTTTAAGAGCAAGTCAAATTTGGCTGATAAAATTTGAAGCACAAAGGATGATTATTCTTTTCCTACCTAGGTCTTATGCAATGGGTGACTACCGGTGAAAGCAATATTTTCATTTTTGTCGGGCCCCTTTTCAATGAGGGTGAAAGTTGTTTTATATATAAGAAAGAAGTTGTACAGGGTACCCTTTTTTCAAGATGATTATAAGTGCATAAAACATAATTTTCATACTCATTGTGCCATATTCCCATTGTACATTTGAAGATATTTTAGGGAAATGAGTGCTTTAGCTATGGGAAATTTCAGCAATACAATAGTTCTAATGATTGAATTTAGGCATATTTGCTCCCTATTTTATATGCTTGTCCTAATGTGGGCTAGATGGCACAGAGAAAGGAATGAAGGTTCAAGATGTTAAAAGTTTAAAATCTAAATTAGAATCAGATTTGTTATTATACACTGCCAACCCTCACACAACTCTATTCTGCCCCCACCCCTTGCCAGTGACAAAAACAAGCAAATCGCCAACTCCTTTTTTTTCCTTATGACAAACTCTTAAGGAAAAAAATTCTTCTTTGGTCTTCACCTAGTCCTTATTCTCTGTGTCTGGGTAACTATAGACTAGCTGGTCTGGTGCACAAACTACCAGAATTCTACCTCCCTCCCTTCTTACATATCTGCCTTTCCTTTGCTCCCTACCCATCCCCAGAGAACACACAAAAATACAAGCACATTTCCTTTATACAACTCTAGTATTTATTCAA